CCCCCCCCAACGCATGACGATTCATATCATTTGGATTACGCATAGCTTTTTGCGATTTACGCTCCGTAATTTTAAGCGAAGCCCCCCCCCCCCCAATACATTTTGCTGGATCCGTCACTGCTCCCGATTCAAATCTCTATAACGCTATTTTATTGTGGGACGAAGCAGATCAATGAGTTCAAAATGGACAAACGTCCGTAAACCAATGTGATGTTCTCCTTAGAGTTGTCCCGGGATATCTACTGGTGTAGGCTAATAAAAATCAGAGAAGTATTTGCAGAAAGAACAATTAAAAATATACTACCGAGTAAACGACTGGAGCACACTAATCTATCTCAAAATTGGAACCAGCCATGCTTGCAGCCTGAAAGCGAATTGTGTAACAGTGAGTCGGTTAACCATCGACCGCTCGTAATTTCTTTTGTTTTTCAAGAATTTAATTCAAGAATTTTAGATGATGGAGACAAAAATGTACCAACAATTTGCCTTTCAAAGAGCCGAACTCTGCACAAATACAAAGCCTTGTAAATAACATAATACACATTTTGTTAGATAAATTACATAGCTTGATAAATTGAAGTTTAAGACTGATGTTAATAATATTAATTAAAACGAAATTTGGTATCAGTATAGGTTAGTAACAATTTAATACAAATAATTAGTGGGATAGAAAATTCTGTCACTCTGCTATATATAGAGTCAACTAATAGACTATTACCTCTTTTTCAATATCCTAACACAGGTTTGAATCATACTGCCCTAATGTATCTCCTAAGAGAATAAACATTAGCTTTTCATCTATTTTAATTTCTCGCAATAAATTTGTTTTCATTTCTCTCAGCAGAATTTCTCTTACTCCACACATCATAATGTTTTTCTGTGTGCCAACAAAACTACATTTAAACATAAAATATTTTAATGTCTCCTCTTCCTCCTTGCAACATGGTCAGGTTGTGTTTTTCATTTTTGATATGCAAGTCCAGGAGTGTACGATCTCGCTTTAAATTTGAGCTGAGCTCCCTTAAAATTTGGTATAGAATATAGATATGTTTCTGGATGTTTCAAGTTGGTTTTAAACTTATATATATAATAATGGATTCGACTGGATTTGTTGTAAATATTTTCTTTCTATTCGGTTTCATCGTGGCTGTGAAAGATAATTTTAAATTTAGCTTCAGTTATTTCTGTAAACTTATTTTAATTTGTTTATGTTTATGTTGTCCATTGTATCATCTAAATTTTCCAGGCTATTCCAGTATAGTCCATCTTGATTTAAGTGATTAACATGTGTAAAAATAACTTTTGCCCACCTAGATACATCTATCTCATATACTTTGTAATTTGTAATATTTTAATTTCATTATATCTAACCTACTTTTATTTGTGTTCTGCCCAAGGTCACCAAAGACTGTATCATTTGCAATAGTCTGCTGGGCAGTATTTACCGGTTTCTAATGTTTCTATATCTGATGTACTTAGAGTTATTATTTTACCTGCGTGGCCCAATGAGGAATGCACTACTGTACATTATTTCATAATGATAATCGATTATCTATTCTGTTAATACTACTATGATTACCAAGAATTACTGGATATAACTTGTTAAATGTTGGAGTTAGCTTTACGCAGTATGTGTGGTACGGTTACGGGTGAACCAATAGTATTCGCACTCAGCAGACTCTTTAATCTTTAGGTCTCCAATTTGCCAACATTTGTTTTTATCAACTTTCTTATTTACTATTATCACATTTGACTTTTCCTGATTAATTTTCTATAATTTGCAAATATTTTTAATTGTTCTTCATTTGGATACTGCTGCGATACGTCTCTTAGCATCGTTAGTCCTAACATGGATGATGATATCATCAAAGTTGATATAACACTAGTGTTGTGTAGACGTTAATATTTCTAAGCATTGAAATTTCAATGATTGCCGTCTTTCTTATCCTCATATATGAACTGCTTGTTCTTATATTATTTCTTTTACCTATATGATTAACATTGGTTTGCTTGTACTGATGATTGTTGCTTGTAAATTCCATCTTCCGGAGTGTTAACTTGTGGCTGTGGCTTGACTTGTTTATCTTGCTGAATTGCTGCATGTCCTTCAATTCGATCTGCTACTTATGAATGGTTCATCATTAATTGAGACTAGGTTGATTGTGGTTCTACTCAGGCTACTATCACGGGGTAAAATTTCTTCTCCCGGGGTCTCCACACTTGCCAAGGGGGAAACTCGTCTCGTCTCTCTATCTCGTCCCCTTGAGGTACGGGATCGGGAAAGTCACTTTAACTTTACAGTCAAATAAGGCACACACAACGAAATACGTTTCAACTCTCGTCTTAGTCTTTTGGAGCACTCTATAAGACACAGCGCCCTGGGGAAAAGTCCCCAAGACTATCGCAAGGCTGAACCAAGACTCTCTTAGACTGCGTCAAGGCTCGCCCCAAGGCTCTCCAGGACTGCCCTCAGACTCTCCAGGACTGGACTCTCTCTACTGTCCAGGACTGCGTCTATCGTGGAGTACTTGCCAAGACCAACTCAAACTCTCTTTATTCATTTTCAAAACTCTAACCAATTACAAAACAGTAAAAAGACTCTAGGGCGTAACCTTCAATCATAAAGCCAATCACACTAAGTACTGAATACGTCATATCTTTTGATTAATCGTTCACTACATTAATAACTACGGATACCAACTGTCAAAATCGCGACGGTTATCTGGTAATTAGTTCCAAATCACTGAGCCAAGTTCCGTCCAAAACTTCAAATAGACAAAATAGACGATGACAGACATAACACAGCAATTCAGCTAATAATCAGCTAAATAAGTCGGTTAACAAATACGCAAAAACAAATTCATGACACTACTGCACTTGTAGATATAGCATTGTAATTCTGTAATAGGAATAATTATTGAGTTGTGTTCCTCTTTTATGCAAAATATGTAGCATATTTACTGACACTTACATGCTGTTATTTTCAATTTTCTAGTGTCTTGTCTTATTATTGTAAAACTACAAAAAAGAAAATACATGTACATGAAAATACACAGACTACACATGTAGTAAAAAAGAAAATACATGTACTTGAAAATACACACACTACATATGTAGTAAAAAAGAAAATACATGTACATGAAAATACACAGACTACATATGTAGTAAACAAGAAATTACATGTACATGAAAATACACAGACTACATACACATGTAGTAAAAAAGAAAATACATGTACTTGAAAATACACACACTACATATGTAGTAAAAAAGAAAATACATGTACATGAAAATACACAGACTACTTATGTAGTAAAAAAGAAAATACATGTACATGAAAATACACAGACTACACATGTAGTAAAAAAGAAAATACATGTACATGAAAATACACAGACTACACATGTAGTAAAAAAGAAAATATCGATGCAATCACATCGTTGACAGAATATTTAAATGGTTCCCAGTTTGTTGTCTAGAGCTCCAAGAAAAAGTTAAATGTCTTTCACACATTTTATGACTGTTAGTAGAAATATCTTTTCCTTGTTTAGTAATAATGTTGGGAGAATACAATGTAATCTTTTCTCGGGGAATCACTTAGTCCTGCAATCTTTCTATTGACTGTATATACCTTTCTATGGGTCTCTCTTCAAGTGATGTTGTAAACTTGGTCTCCACTGTTCCTGCCATTGGTGTTGAGTTCAGGTTGTCATCTGATTTAATTTATTGATAACAAAAATACGTAATATAGTATTGGTGCTGCTTTTGGCTAAACTGACAATAAATGATATCGGAAATTGGCTATTGGAAGTTTCAACTAGAAGAAATTACCTGCATATGGGAATTTCAAATAGTTTTCTTTTCGAAATCAATGAATAGCATATACACATAAAGATCCTGTGAACTATAGGGAATATGTGTTTATTTAGCACTTCAACGTCGGCGGCCCAAATGTATCAATATCATAAATTTAACGAATCATCAAATTAATGTTTTACATTAAATTTCACTAAAAAGTGTTTTGCGCAACCGATGTTATTGCGGGGAACATAAATTCCGATAAAGTGATAAACAATATTTTTTGCGGGAAGAAAGTTATTATAGTAGAAGGATAAACAACCGGAACGTATTTCGTTTCGTAAAATGTTTCACCTCATTTGCATAGTAAATTAAACATAGACGATCTGAACATTCCATGCCATGTCACTTTCTATTCGTAGCCCATGCGCGGAGAAGTGTAAACATGCTGACATATTCATATGATTTGGAATTCTGGGGGTAATTACATATTGTTCTACTTCATACTTAAAATTACGGTGAAAAATATACACTTTAACTGTATAAATAATGTTCGAAGTTCAACACATGTACTGAAATATTAACATTGAGAATTTCCTTACTGTCCCACACATACTCCCAATTATTTTTTATGCGCAGATATTTCTCCTCGTTTACCCATGTTGGCTTAAATCCAACCCCAAATATCGGATAGTTCGATACTATCTTGATGTTGGCTTGAGTTTATTCTATTCTATTCTATTCTATTATATTGCCCACTGTTTTAACACACGGGGCAGTCGAAATACTAGGACAGACTATTTTTCTCTACTATGTACGCATAATTTACATAATTTAATGCCCTTGGTTAACTCCCCTGTAGATTGCATGCAACATTCTAAGCATTTTACACTTAATACTAGTACCAAGTTTCAGAAGGACATAATAACAAGAAAAAA